AAATTTACAAAACGTTACTTGCGGTTGAAACTAGATATTTAAAAAAAAAAACTTGTCAGTATCTGAAGTTAAGTCAGATCAAACTTCTAATGTTTTATGTTAGTTGGACTTATTTAAATTATTTCTATTTGCTAAATGCCAGAAAACTTTTTTAGAGATTTTTTAAAATAACTTTACTTTTGTTTTGTTGAAGCATTTAATTTGAGCTCAGAAGTGATCTATCTTAACACGATTTGTTTAGATTGTTCCAGTGCATTGAATATTTATCGTTCACTAATTGAAAAAAGGTTATCTTATATTTTATATGCTAAACAACATTATTAAAATTGTTTTTTGTTGTTAAATTAGTGTTTTGTTCTTAGCTTTGTCAGGTGTGTAGTGAGTGAGAGACAGTTCAAAATATAACATTTTATTATATTTAAGTTTACGTTGTCCCTGCTGTATGATTAAGAATCCTATTACAAGACATTTTTAGCAATGTAATACTAAGAAGACATAGAAACAGTTTTTTTTCCTAGTTGATTTAAAGTCTGGTGCTGGAAAAGTTTGAAAACTGTTTGAATCTTACTGTGGGAAAAGTGTACCAACCCTGTGTGGTGAATGTGTAATAAAACCATTCATGTACCTCGTTTATTATGTTAATAGTTTGGCAGAAAACTAATGCTAAACCCCTGACAAAGCGAAAATGTAATAAATCTGTCTGTTCTCGGCTTCTGGCTGTTTTTCTGACCACATCATGCAAAGCGCCGCCTTTGCTTGCATCTGTTGATATCTGCCTGTCGTTCTCCTGAAAGAGTGAAGCGGAGGAACTGATGTGAACTAAAGCGTCCTCATGTTGTGTTTGAAGCAGGAGGAAGAGGACCCAGACAGAGGCCAGCCCTGCATGCGCTGCGGAGATCAGTGCCCCGGCTTCCGCGTCCACGGCTGGAGGTAAAACCTGCTGCTTCATCCTGGGGAAGTGTTTCACCCAGGATGAAAACTCACCTCCAGTCGGGTCACAGTTCCTGCTGCTGCTGCTCTCTGGATCTGCTGCAGCTGAAAATAGCAAGTAAAAACCGAGCTGTAGGGCTGAAACGATTAATCGACTGTAAAAGTCGATTAATCACTAACTGGAGTAAAGAGACTCAAAAGAAAAAGGCCATTTGCTGAAAGAAAAGCATAACAAGATCAGTAATTAAGCCAAAAATGTACCAAAAAAAATCCAGATTGCATTTAAGATAAAAAAATAAATAAATAAATAAAAACCTTTGTAAATATGTTCAACCCAAAACTCTTAAAGCGGTTTAGTTTTGGTTCAAATTCTGTTAAGAATATCCTATTAATCACTTTTATCTACACAAGTTTAAACATAAGTAATATAATACTCATAATATAAAAAGGAAGAGTAAATTTATTCCAGAAAACTCCAACATTTTGAGATTAATCTCAAAGATTTTCTAGAAAATACTAAGAAATTTAAGAGTTTGAAGAGTTGAAAATTTGCTAGAAAAACATTTGAAATTTGGAGACTAATCAGAAAATTTCTAGGAAAGATCTGGACATTCTTGTGCTTCAAAAGTTTAAAATATTTTACTTTTGGAAATTTTTTGGAAATTTTCTGAGTTTGAAAAGTCGGAAATGTTTCTTTCTAGAACATTTCTGAGAGTAATCTCAAAATTTCTGAATGTTTTCTAGCAAATTTCCAATTTTTCTAGTTACAAGTTCATTAAGTTAAGGTATTCGGTTCATTAAGCTGTCATGTTAAACAAGCGTAAATAAGGTAAGTTTGACAAACTTAATGTGATTACATGTTGCAGATTAGCCCTATTTTTTTAAGTTGCAGCTGTATTCTGTTTTTTTCCATGTGAATATTTTACATATGTTTTAAGAGTGTGCACTCCTGATAAGTTCTACATCTTTAGGTTTTTGTTGCACTTTTTTTTCGGACTTGTTTTCTTTGCAGGCCTTGCACTGCCCTGTAGTTGAATATTATACAGTTTGCTTTTAAAAATTGGAAGATTAAATTAAATGTGTCAGGACTAAAAAAGTCTACAATCCACATATGAGCAGTATGAGAAATGATAAAAAAAACAAACAAACGATACAAAAAACACTCAGAGACAAGGTGCATCACCCAGATTAAAGCAAGTTCTTTGCAAAGTTTTCTGTCTGTTGATGTAATGCTGGTTAGTTTTTATGACCTTTTATTAATTAATTAATTGGTCAGAATCCAGATGCTTAACAAGCAATACATTTTTCTGGCAACAACTACTGAAGGAAATCTAAAAACAAGTAAAAAAGACTTTAAAACTTCTGAAACTTGTGACTTCTGCAACAGAAAACATCAAGGGCCGAAGACTTTTGTACTTTTACTGTTGTAATTTAGCTGTTAGTCACTGTGATTATTATGCTATATGTGAAGTTTGGTTGTTTTCCTTCAGACGTTTCTTCCTGCTTCTGTAATGTATATCCAGCTGGTTGGGTCGGTGGGCAATCTGATCCTGTCACTCAGATTAACCAGATTAGGCTGTGGAAGCCGCCATCTTCACCGCCCTCTGTCCGCCACTTTTCTGTTTTTCAGTCTCCACCATTCTCCGAACCTCATGGTACATTCCGAGTTCTTCACAGAAGTATTGATACGCCCAAAAATTTCTCAAGAACATTAATTCATTTCTTTTGGATTTTATATCATCGACCAAACTAATTAGTTCTTAATTCTGACATAAAAGGACATTCATCAATTATTTATGTAAATACTTTGTGTTAACCACTTTTAATCTGATACCTTTAAATAAAACCCAGTACAACCAGTGACTTTTAGAGGTCCACTATTCAGTAACTAGAGTCAACCTGTGAGTAAATCCATAGTTTTCATGCATCCTTAAAAAGTCTTAAATTTGTGTTTAAAGTATGTCCTTAAAATGTCTTAAATTCTTTTTTTTTTAAATCTAGTTTTACCTTTAATTTGTAAATCGCAGATCTGAATTTTTGTTGTGGTAGGATTATTTAATTGGGTCGCACACAGACTCGAGGCAGTGGTGGCTGCCGCTAAATAGCTGCTAATATAACATTGCTAGCTAGTTAGCTAGCTTTTTTACGTCCGTCATGACTACGTTCAAATTTATTGCTTGTTCATCTCAGCTATTAGCTCACGTCTGTTGCCAACGATACTATTTATTAGCATTATTTTATTTGTACATTTCTCTCTGTATCTTAAAGAAATTGTCTTAAGTCTTACATTTGAGTTGTTACATTTGATGGTTTGCAGAGTAAAATGTGCAAAACATTTATCTTCTAGATCTGCAAATCTGTTGCAGATGAAAAAAATAATACATGTAGTTTCAGTTGTAGTGAAAGGGGAGTTTCACAAACTATTGACCTTTGTGAGCTGGATAGAAAATTCACAGTTGTAAAATAAAGTAAAACTGAGTAAAATTTGAGTAGAAATGTGCTGGTCTGTCACATCAGATACCAATAAAATATAGAGGTTTTTAAATGTAACAAAACTTAAACAAGTCTGAATAAATATAAATAAAATACACTAAATGTAAAATAATGTAATTTAAAAACATTTTATTGAATTAGTCTGTCATGAATTGGTCCAAATAGTAGATTTTTCTTATTTTTTAAGGTTTCCTCAGTACAGGTCAAAGAGAGTGATGAACAAAAAAGACAAAACATATATTTTTATTTTACATTATGAAACAGTTAAATACAGTTATATTCCTCCTCCAGTCACTGCAGGTTTAACATAATGCACTTTTAGTTTATGTTGTTTCATTACGCATTGCAGACAGATTAGGAAATGTCAGGTAAAATGACAGAGACGAATGTCCCGCTAAGCCACGTCCGATCCTGCAGAATGAGCCACATGAACGTTATTAAGTGATTGAGATTGATAGGGGTCAGTTTTTAGGACCTCAGAGTCTGCTTCTAATTTCATCCTCCTTAATAATCAATCAAGAGTCACACCTTCGCTGGCGGAGAAGATCCTCCCAGAGACCGCAGGCTCAGCTGCTGGAGCTGGCTGAGCGGGAAGCGATCCATCTTCATCCCGGGCTTTTCCTGATCTGCGGTGGGGGGCAGATGGTGCTTCCGCTGCCCGGCGGAAAGTGAATTGAGTTACCGCTGACCCGCAGGTCCCCCACCATGCTTCAAAAGTGATCAAAGTCACCAGGAGCTATTAGTTTCAGTCGCCATGTGGCAATTAGTCCGTCCCTTATTAGTGGCGGGGAGTTAACGGGGCACAGCCCATCTGTTGGGATCTGAGGCGCGTTTACTGTCGTCCCCCTGCGGTTTGTCTCAGCTTTAGATTATCACAAAGAGGATTATTATATAGCTGCTACGCTGGATGCTCAGCTAGATTCTATCACTGTTTACTGACTGAAATATTGAGGATAATTACACTGCAAAAACACAAACTCATCAGTTTCTAGTGCAAATATCTTAACATAACAAAACCGACTTAAAAATAACATCAGCAAGATATAGAAGCTTGTTTTAAGTAAATAATTTCTTAATATTGATTAAATTAACTCACTAATGAGACATTTTTCCTATAAGTCAAATAATCTTCCAGTGGATTTAGTACGTTTTCATCAATATTAAGGACTAATTACTCAAAACAAGCCCTTAAATTTAGTTACTCATAAGTGTTTCAATAAGCAATAAATCAATTAATCACACAATGAATTTAAACAAGCTCCTTAATTTCCATTCTTATTATTAATATGTTTTAAACGGTAATTTTGTTTACAGGGACATAATAATCCATTTTATTCACGGTTTTTATTTCCATTTTAGTTGTTTTTTTGTTGTTGTTGTGTTTTATTTTAGGTACTTAAAATATGTTCCAGTTCCAGCGTTAAGTGCTCTTTTCAAAATTAAAGTTTATCGTAAAATTGTCTCCAGAAAACAATATTAGCGGTTGTTGCAATAATTTCTGGGGCAATTTACCATCCAGTAAAATTTGTATTCATACTTGTAAGTTAGTTTAGTTTTATTTCTTGAGTACTAAGAAATGAAACTACACTAAAAATACTTCGTATGATTTCGTGTTTTTGCAGTGTAGCATCAGACAATTGGTTCAAATTACTTCTTTTTTTGTTGACAGTGTTTAAATTGTGCTGATACGATACTACAAGTAAAAAAAGCTTCAAAGTGAATTGCATGTTTTGCCTAAAATGAAAGCGGACATTATCTCGGTGGTTTTTAATCCTTAATGAGTGGACGTCAGAGATTTGTCGTGACTTTCCAGAGGCCGTTTAATATTTCTCCAGAGATATTTTGTCGTCATTTTTGGCCATCTTGATCTCATAACGCGACAGATGCTGAACAGGACGGCGTTGCTCACAGGCTCAAAATCTGCAACTCTTATTTGTATGATTAATAACGGCACCGAAGCTGCAGTCGTCCATCTGTTGTGAATCAGCTGCAGCAGTTTAGTCACAAAAGGAAAAACAGTGACTTTTCTCTTATTATTTTCTAAAACGACTGAACATTTCAAGGCTTACTGTAAATATGTAGAATCCTCAGCTGATTAGTTGAGTTTTCCCAGTTTTGAATTGGTCAGTAAAATTGCTTCTGCTCATAAAAAGTTGAGATGTGTTTGGATTTTGGGTGGCATGGGTGGCTGTATCTGGTGAGTCAGAGCCATTTGTTTGCTCTCCCACTCGGGACGGAGGAGGGTGGGAGGGTTGGAGTGGACATTGAAAAGAGACGCTCACTCAGAGAAGATCCCAGTTGGACAGGAGCTGTCGTAGAGCGTCCTCCTCTCACAGACAGGATGCAGAAACTGGACGGTAAACAGAGCTTTAAGAGTCAGCTGGTCAGCAGAAGTCTGGATGGACGGCATCAACACGCTGGATGGGACTAACTGGTCATGATTCTCACACAAGGTAACGAATTTAGACTGGAGGCTTAAACGGTAATTACCTGTTGAGGTGACAGTTGTTTGAAGATAAAAGCTCATTTATGTCTTAATTATGTGTTTGTGCTGTCTCTAAGTCCATATGGTGCTGTCAGATTACTTTGTTATCTCACAAAATTTGGTAAACATGATGACCAAGTGGAGCGTTCTAAGATTAGAGACAAACTAATCAGGTGATTTACTGGCCAATTTAGTTTTTTAATGACTGACTGTAATTATGCTACAGAAAAGATACAAAATGAGATGTTTTTATTAATGATGCAGTAGCTGTATGTTCAACAAAATGAAATAATTAAGACATCAAGATGTATTTCACCAATTTTCCTGAAAAAGGCTGTTATTTATTTTTATTTGTGTTTATTTATTTTTAATTTTATTTCCTTTATTTAACCAGGTAAGCCCCCACTGACATCCAGATCTCATTTCTAAAGAGGGACCTGTTGGTTGGTGCTTTATACACTGAAAATGGTGGACGGTTTTACTTTTAACAAATAGGCAAAAATATTGCTGATCAAAGGTAAAATTGGCCGATTCCAGGCTTTAAACAATCGATTTGTGAAGCTCTACTTATGTCCTGCAGTGCTAAATATTATATACACCAAATATTTACATTTTTAAAAGACATAACCTTTTTTATTGTCTGGCATTAAATCTGATTAAGCTTTACCTGATGAAAGTTAAATAGCATGACTGAAATTAACATGTCGATCTCTGTAACAAAGGGACAGTTGGTGTTATAATGTTTGATGTTGATACTATTATAGTTTCGGACTCTTCTCTGGTTCTGTTGGATCCAGGTGATAGTGCCACCTGCTGCTGGTTGAAGGTTACAGTCTTTGGTTACAGTGTTTAGGAATGCTGTTGGTGCAACTGGCTGAGACGTGATGCATTTACCATCTGTCCCATCATGCCAGATCTTTAACTGGCCCCTTACCACCAGTAGCTAAGCAGCTGTGTAGGTAACTCAGCTGTGGCCGCATTGGTTTCAACAATTCAGGGGTTTGATCCCAAACCTGCGTCACAGGAAAACTTTATAGTTAAACAATAACAGATTTTCAATTAATTGTCGATTAATGGTTTAGTAGATTAAAATTAAATCAGATCGATTAACTGATGACGTCCGCTTGGACCTTCTTTTAGTGTTGTAGTTTAGACGCCATCCAGCAGAGGGCGCCGCTGGGCATCCGTAAACAGAGCCGCTGGTGCGTCAACAAAGATGGCGGATAATAGGAAAGATAAACGGTCAAATAGAGTCCGGTATGGGGTGCAAGATGTTCTTCATGCGGTTCGTTTTGAAATATAAGTTTAACATTTAAGTTTCATGTTAGCAGCGCTCATTCAGCTGAGCTGCGTGATGGAGCAGCGTCAACATTATCGGCCAAAAATTAAAGATGTGACGGCAGTAAAGCGGAGAGTGTAGCAAAGAAAAAATGTGACATGATGAAAAAAACATGATTTTGAGGGCTGTCGTGAGTTGATTCACTTTACGAAGCAACGTTTTAACCCTTGTTCGTGCAAGGACCGAGGCAAATGATACGAGTGAGGGTGTGGGGTCGGTTGGACCCCACACATTTGTAAACAGAAGGGTTAACATTCTTTCTGTTTCACATATTTTAATATTTTATTTTTAAGCAAGAGGGTAACATTTTGTTAGATTTTATATAAAATAATGATTTTTTAATTTTATTTTTTTTTAATTCAGCATATAGCCCCTCGTGTTTTGGGAAGGTGATCGATCGTCTATCTTGATTTTTAGGAAAGTGATCGTTTATCAAGTTATCCTTAGTCGATAAGATCAATCAAATCTAGATTAAATAATCGATTAATTCTATCCCATATTAATATCTCTGATTAGAGCCTTCTAAGCTTCTTAGCAGTTAGTTTCCAGCAGCAGCAGCAGTCACTAGCGTCTCAAAAAGAGCTCATTGTAAATAAATCCATTGATTAGAGGAGTAGTAATCTGCGGTTGACCAGTGGTCATGTGTTTGGGTACGCCAGCTTTTTGGCTCCTTGGGGACTGGGTGCTCTCATAAAGCAGCTTTGTGCCGTACGAACTTGAGCCACAAGTACCAGCTGGCAAGCTGTTATGCAATCACAACAGAAACGTAAAGTAAAAGCCGCGTATGGACACAGTGTCATGCTTCGCTTGCAGCCCGGGGCGCTTCATTCTGACTCCACCGGTCCCACACACAAGCACGCACCCTCCTCCAGATTGAACGCGATGCAGTATGAGGACAAGATGGTTGCAATACGAGGCAGAGAGAGATTAGAACTGTCCCGGATTGACAGGCGGGCTTATGTCAGTGACCTCGTTTTGCTGCTTGCTTGTCACAGATGTGCTGGTCCTGATGCAGAGGGCTGCAAGATGTCAGGCCGAGGAGGGCGTGAACTCGGCGGAGGTTCCTCTAAATTATCTGGATGTTGTGTTCTTGTGAGATTTGCTTACTTGTGTTCAAACTGACAGCAGGAGGTCTTGGTTAGTCAGCATGAAAAAAATGCTTGTGCTGGGTTTGTGATGTAACGTCTCCTGCTTGGTGCCTTGTAAATTACACTGTTGAAAGCGGAGGGAGTGACATATGACTGCGATGAGAAACTGTTATTACTTACAGAGTTTCTTTGTTTGGCTCTATTTTAGCAACTGGAAGTAAAGCTTAATCTTTAAGAGTGTTAATTTGTTCCAGCTTGAACAAATACAATGCCTTGTTAAGGTACTCTTACTCACTGATATTTTAGTGTTGATCAACCACCAATTTTAAATTTTAGTGGGGTTGGTTCTAAAAAATAATTAAATAAAAGACACAGACAAATGCAGCACACGTTTGTCTGATTTGTTGTTGCCTTTATTAGAGAGTGTCAAGAAGAAGCGCCGTATACAGGCCAGGCAAAAACCGAAGACTTATACCTGAACCTTCAGAGCCACATAAAGTCGGTTACAAAGTTGGCCTTCTAGATCCTGACGAACATTTCTAGGATTAAAGGACTAATGTACCAACAAGATCTAGAGGAACTCATTCATGCGCCTCTAATCTGAGGCGCATGAATGAGTTTTCTGGACTGCTTGCAGTCCAGAAAACTGCAAACATGCTGAAACACTGAGTTCTTTTGGATCAAGGCCACAAAAAATTGTTTAGATCTTCCTTCAATTGACAAGTGGAAAATTATTAAGTGTTTCAACCAGTGATCATTTTCTCTTTAACATTTTAATTTCTTTGTTTTTGCTTGTTTTATTTTCCTTATCATGTGAAACTCTTTGAATTATTTTATTCCTAAAAATGCACTATAGAAATAAAATAGTCCAGTCCAATGAGAATAAAATTTAACTGTTTGGCCAACACAAAACACTTTGTGTGATGGTAAACTAAAATTACACTCTGAACAGAATGTATCATCTGTGAAACATGGTGGTGGCTGTATGATACTTTGGGGTTGCCTTTCAGATTTGTCAGGTGATTTGCAAAACTATTTGGAGTCATAACTGAAAATATGTGGAGTTTTAATTCTGATTGACACAGGGAGGATAAATATAAATGCAAGCAACCATTTTAATGTAATTTTATATTTGTCTATTCTGTAAAATTCAAGATGTGGAACCAACAAATCAGTTAAACATGATAAATTAAAACAAATCCAGTCATTTCCATCTGTATGATTTAATGTTTTTCTCTTTTCTGTCTCTCTTTCTTCCAAAGCTGGTCTTCAGTTTGGGGCTTTAACCTCAACTTTGTTTATAGACTTTATAGCTCATTTTATTTGTTGTTTCTGTTGTTTTGTTTATTTATTTTGGATATTTAAAATGTCTTCCAGTTCCTGTTTTTAATGTTTGTTAAATTAAGGTTTATTGATCTTTGAGAATGTGTTCAGAATCATTATATTACTTGAAAATGGATTCAAAACCACAATATTATCATTCATCGCAATAATTTTTGGGACAATTTATCGCCCAGCAAAACTTATGTTTTGCAAAACTCTGTGTAGCAGAAACAATTTTATTACTGTTTTTGTTTCTCCAAAGAAGAAAGTAACTGGAGAACTCATAAATATAAGACTTGTCAAGCGTTAAAAACTTTGCTTCTTGAAGCAACATTAGACGTTGAATGAAACACTTGATCAGGTTTCTGCTTTGGTTGTAAATCAGTTTTAAGACCGTCTCCGTCTCCACAGGAAGATCTGCGTGCACTGCAAGTGTGTGCGGGAGGAGCATGCGGTGCGGTTGGTGCCAGGGCAGCTGGAAAAGATGATGACTAAGCTGGTGTCGGACTTCCAGAGGCACTCCATCTCCGACGACGACTCGGGATGCGCCTCCGAGGAGTACGCTTGGGTCCCACCTGGGCTCAAGCCCGAACAGGTCAGAGACAGGATATAAATTAAACTCAGATGCTCTCCTTCACCTGGACGTGTTCGTACACAGACCCAAATGATTTGATAGGCAGTAATTTCATAAACTGCTTTGTAAGTGGGTAAATTGCTGCCCGTAGTCTCTCATTTCTGCCTCTGTGAACAAACTTGTCTCCGGATTCAGGTGTACCAGTATTTCAGCTGCTTGCCAGAAGACAGGGTGCCTTATGTGAACAGTCCGGGGGAGAGATACAGAATCAAACAGCTGCTGCACCAGCTTCCGGCTCACGACAGCGAGGTAACGGGCTCCAGTAGAGGCAGAGAGACTCACCTGGTCAGCTCTGGAACACACCGTTACAGAAACACCTTCAAAACTGGAGCTGAATTTAGGAAAAAGACTGAAAAAAAAACAAAAACACTTTACTGGTTGGAAGACGAGTGGAAAACATGAAAACTAAATCCATCTGTTTTCCATCCATCCTTTCTTTCTCTCAGTTTTTTTATCTGATTGTACTTTTGAAATATCAGTAATCAGTGACACTTTGAAAGATTTTTAAAGGACTAAAACAAAGTTTCTGAGTCTGAAGCTGCTGCATTTTTACATAAAATGTCTCATAAATCTGTAAGTTTCTACCAGTAATCTCTGTTTTCTCGCAGCCTCAGTACTGCAACTCTTTGAATGATGAGGAGAAGAAAGAGCTTCGTACGTTCAGCCAGCAGAGAAAACGAGATAACCTGGGCAGAGGCGTCGTCAGACCTTTCCCTGTTACCATGACCGGAGCCATCTGCCAGCAGGTGCACAACACTTACAGCATCATGATCATATTTCATGACCAGAGCTATACAACGCTCAGGTTTTCCTTATCCAGCATTAATGCACAGATGTGAAAGCTTCTTAAAACGTATCAGAGCGCGTCAGGCTGACGCTAAGCGTAGCTGCATGTATGTGCAGGTAACGCTTGGAGGCTGCAGCACACAGAGTTACTGATCACAGAGCTGCAGAAGCAAATTACTGAGTCCTCTCCATTTGCTGAAGGATACACCACCTCACTTCCTTCCCTCTGCGCCACACCCGACCCAACCTCATCTGTTTTTCCAGTGTGGCAGACAGATCAGCGGCGGAGACATAGCTGTGTTTGCCAGCCGGGCGGGTCACGGCAGCTGCTGGCACCCCCAGTGTTTCCAGTGCTCGTCCTGCAGCGAGCTGCTGGTCGACCTCATCTACTTCTTCCAGGACGGGCAGATCTACTGCGGCCGGCACCACGCCGAGAGGCTGAAGCCCCGCTGCCAGGCCTGCGATGAGGTGCGTGGTTGTCCTTTGTCCAAGAAATGCTTCTCCTCATGATTACGGCTAATGATCATTTTAGTAATCGATTTTTGTCCTGATGATTAATCGGAAAAAATATAGCAGATTCTACAGATTTTATATTTAACTGCTTAAGCTTAAGGTAACTTTTTATACAATATTAATTGATTATCTCAATAATTAATTAATCACGATTAATCCGATTAATCGTTTCAGCTCTAGTGAAATTTATTGTCTTGATAAATTTCAGTCCATCCCATCATAACGTATTATTAATAAATTATATAACAGAATAGTGACCTGAATCGTATTGTTTTTTTATCTCCAAAGTCCTGGAAAAGTTTGAAAACGTACCTTAAAACTGCTTGAATTTTCCCCGTCTCCATTTGATCATAAACATAATTCACTAACTTAATCTCTGTTCATTAATTAAATCTATTTAAAGGTTTATGTTAGTCTCTTTCGCCTGGCCGCTCGCTGTGATTTAAGAGATTAGTTTGCTGAAGGATCTGACCCACAGCGGCTCTGAGGGCACTGGGTTGCAATCCACTTCCTGTTTCTGTTTACCCAAACTGTCAGTGTTTGTTTGTTTACGTACCTGTCCAACCCTTTATTCCAGATTATTCTAGCAGACGAGTGTACGGAGGCAGAAGGAAGGTACTGGCACATGAAGCACTTCTGCTGCTTTGAGTGCGAGGCGGCGCTGGGCGGTCAGCGCTACATCATGAGGGAGAGCCGACCGTACTGCTGCTCCTGCTACGAATCCCTGTACGCAGAATACTGCGACACCTGCGGAGAGTCAATAGGTACAAGGCAGTTCTACTCTGTTCAATTCAGAAATACAGTAACCCTTTATGTGCCGGGGCGCCATAAGACTGACATGACACTGTCATAAACATGATATAACACCTGTCATAAACATGAAGGAGTCTTATGACTGTTCGGTAAATTATGACACTTTTAATGCAAAGGTGCTTTAAAAGTTGGATTAAAAGTCCATTAAAAGTGCCAAATTTGCATTAATTTGTAAAAATGGCATTTTACTGCAAAGTCACGGACATTCATAAAGACTCTTTAATGTTTATAACAGGTGTAATTCCATGTTTATAACATCCTCATGTCCGTCTTATGCACCCAATGAAATAAAGCGTTATCAAAAATATTTTATTGATCCCAAAAGGTAATTAATTGTTGTTGCAACTCATTAATCCAAAGTCATCAAAGTGTTATTAGACAGTAATGGCCAATTGCCAATTTTCCCTCCTTCCTGTTTTCCTTTTGTTAGCCTAAAAGAAAATTAGACAAAATGTGATTAAATCATTCCAGGTGATTTTATTGTGTGTATATTTCTAAATGTATTACTGATAGGAATTTATACAGGGTTCCTGCATAACTTTGAAAAGTATTGCATTTTCTTGTAGAGAAAAAAAATCTATTTTGTTTCTTTATATTTCATTTACATCCTTTATTTGATTTGCTAAATCATAATGTAAAAATCTAGACATGTATTTAAGCGTTTGTCATTATTAGACCTGCATAAAAATTCAGTATGGGAAATGTTTGATTTTTTTTAAAGTACTTTGTTCCTCCGTGTTCTAAGAAAAAAAAAATCTAATACTGCTTATTAAACGGGGAAGTTTTCACAATAATTTATTTTTAATTTGCTAATTCATGTCGAGTTTAACAGGATTACAGTTTTGAAAACTCATAAACGTTGTGGTCCCAAAGTCAGGTTGCTGTACTCCAGTTAACGATTAATTGATTACTAAATTAGTTGATGTTTATTTCAATAAGGGATTAATCCGATTCAGCCCTAAAATTGCTAAACATATATTTTTTGTAAAGGTTTTACTTAATTACTGCCCTAAGAGTGTTGTTTTTCAGAAAATGTAAAATTTTTGAGTCTTTATACTCCAATTAATGATTAATTGATTACTAAATTAGTTGATGTTTTCAAACCCGATTAATCATGATTGATTACAATTAATCGTTCCAACCCTAGCCTCCTGTAATGTCTAGCAAAACTGATTTATTTTTAATATTTAAAGAGAATACTCATCAATGTAGCAGATAATCACCTGAAAGTCTCTCCTCAGGTATCGATCAAGGCCAGATGACGTACGAGGGTCAGCACTGGCACGCGGTGGAGTCGTGTTTCTGCTGCGCGCGCTGCCAGCTCCCTCTGCTCGGCCGGCCCTTCCTCCCACGCGGGGGCCTCATCTTCTGCTCCAGGTCCTGCTCCCTGGGCGACGACCCCAACAACTCGGACTCCTGCGACTCGGCGCTGCAGAGCAGGTCTCCCCATCACGGCAGGCGGTGGGGGACGCCGGAGAGGGTGCCCTGCGGCTCCCCTCTGCAGCCACTAGAGGGCGTCAAACACTCTCCTGCACAGGACTGCATTCACACTGCAGTGGAGAGTAGAGGTGAAAATGACTGATTAGGCATTAAAGTGTGAGAACATTAGCTGTTTTTGTTAAATATTCATGCGATTTGCTTCCTTCAGGGCTTCACTGCAGCGCTCCAGTTCAGAATGGGGTTCCTCCACACACCGCCCATCCTCCTCCAAGAGGCTCCTACTCGCCTCTGCCTCACATTCACCTGGGAAACGGCTGGCCCAGCGACGTTCCACACTACAGTCTGCTGCCAGGGGACAACAGCGTCAAACCGCCAGCCACGGGTGTCCAGTTGCAGGAGGAGCTGAATGGAAATACTGGACTAACTGGTCGTAATTCAAGAGGAACCTCCACCAACAAAGACTGCAGGAACTGGGTGGAAAAGACAAATCAGGCAATGCAAGGTAACAGAAACCCCAGTGGGAGCCTGAGGAGGGATCTGGCCTCTTCCCAGGACCAGAGTTTAGGCTCAGGAAGTCTGGCTCAGTGTTTCAGAAAAAAGATGTGAGGGGAAGCTTCAGGACGCACACAAGGGTCAGTCAGCAGCAAAGACCCAAACCGGTCAGGAAGCACACCTCTGGCTTTGGAGTGGCCTAGCCAAAGTCCAGCCGTGACTCTAATTGAGGTGATGTGGCATGACCTCAGACTGGCTGCTCATACTTAAAATGTCTCTGCAATTAAAACGATTCTGTGAACAATAGCGGGTTAAAACACTGAATGACTTCCTGTTTTCTCTTTGCTTTAGTTTGGTCTCTGATAAGAACGTCACACTTAGCAATACATCAATCGCATGATAAACTAAAACGATAAGAGACACTCTCCTTTAATATTATTGAAAAGCCGTAATTTTTAGAGATAAGACAAATATTTAAACCCAGTGAAAATATTTAAACCCAGTGTGAAATGGTTAGTTTAGGTCACCTGATCTGAATGATTATTGTTTTTTAAAGTGCAGTTTTGTTTAGAGAAACTTGTTTCTGTTGTTTTATTTTTATATTTAAAATGTTTCCAGTTCTAGAGTTAAATGTTCTTTTGAAATATTTTTTTTAATCTCTAAATTAGTGTTCTCACATTAGTATAAATTATTTTTATATTACATAATAATATAACTATCATAATTACTATAATTGTCATTATTACTAATAATTATTATATTATAATAATTATTAGTCATAATAACGTATTAGTACTGATAATAGTTAGCATTAATTTTCATAATATTGTAATTTTGAAAATGGCCTCAAATTGACAATATTCATCATTGATCTCAATCATTTCCTGTTCTTGTCGCCACATCAGGCCTCTTCTCTGATTGTTCCCTCTTTTCTCCTCAGACACGCCGCCGCCATCATCAGACAGCTCCCCCGTCCTCCCACCTCCTCTGCCCCTTAAGTCCCGGGACCTGATGCCGCGGGACTCGTCCCCTCTGTCCCCGTCCCCTCTGTCCCCATCCCATCGGAAGGACCAGCCCCCCGAGTTGCCTCCTCCGCTGACGCGCAGCGGCCAGGCCAGAGTCAGCTTCAGGGAGCCGATCAGCAGCAGCTACTCTGTAGAGGAAGACGACGACGATGAGGAGGAGGAGGAAGAGAGGCTTCATGTCAGCATGGAGTCCAAGCAGACTGAGGATGACGATGGTGAGGTGGGGGGTTTTGGAAGCAGGCTGCACCTTCAGAGAGGCGTCCCACCACAGATGGATCTACTGGGTAAGCAGAGTCCCTGGTGGTTCTGTGTTGGCCGAGATGGGTCGCTGGTTTGCTAAAAATGAAACTCTCATTTAACTTTTCATGTTTGGTCAGATTACAACTCCAGGTCTTTCATTGGGATTAAGACACAAAGAGTGAAGTTCAGGCTTTTGCTACAAAAACAACAAAATATATTGTTTAATTTCTTTTGCTGTTGATAAATGATTTATTAGATTAAAATTAGTTCCAATCGATTAACTGATAACCTTTAGTGTTGTAGTTTGGCTGCCATCCAGCAGAGGGCGCCGCTGGTCATCCTTAAGTAGGCGTTGATACAGAATTAAAGATGGCGGAGGAAAGATAAACGGTCCGAACAGAGTCCGTTTTTAGGTGCTATATGCATTTTTATTATTTAGTCAAAGTGTAATTTTACAAAATGTCAGATTTTAAGCATTTTTAAATTTTAATGCGATTCTCTATGGAATCAATTTTTTCTCCATCTCTAATCTCTAGAAGGTTTTGATTAATTTTAGGTCACAATAACAAATTTAGCAGGACAATAAATTGTTCGAGAAGTTATTGTAATAAATGATAATGTTGTTTTGAGACAATTTAATGGCTTAATACTGCAGGAATACATGCTCAAAGGTCAATAAACTTTAAATTCTAATGAATATTTGGCTTTGAAACAAAAAAAAATTAAATATTCAAAATGAACAAAATGATGAATGGTTTGTCCTTCAAAAAACAGACCAAACCACCAGACTGAAGGCTTTTATCATCCAGCTTTTGGTAGAAGAAAAAAAAACAATAAATAATAAAAGTTGAAACTATTGAGCTCGTTTTATCAAGCGATTACTTTATTTAATTTCCTTTTTTCCCTGTTCAGACGGCTCTTCGTATCATCGTCATCACCTGAAGCGCGGTTGGGGCCGCTCCCGTACGTCCTCTGACCCCGTCCTCCCTCCGGGGTTGGAGCGGCGCCGGTCCGACAGACCCCGACTCGACACTCTGGACTTGAGGGCCGAGAGCCGGAGAGACGCACGCAGCTCCTGCAGCTCCCTGAGCCTCCAGCAGGGACCCCACAAACACGAGGACTGCTGCTCCACCTGCTCCTCCTCCTCCGAATCCGAGGAGGAAGGCTTCTTTCTGGGGCAGCGGATCCCTCTGCCTCCGCAGCTCCGGCAGCCCGACGACGGCCCGGCCAGGCGGCCCGAGGAGGTTCTGGAGGCGCAGAGAGACCGCGGCCTGAGAGGCAGCATCCGGCGGAGACGAGCTCAGAGCGCCAAGGAGAAAGATAAAAACTGCGCCGTATCCTGAAGCAAAAGCTACTGAGCATTCGTCCTCCATCGCTGCAAAAACACAAAATACTACCAAGTATTTCTGGTCCAGTTTCTAACGCAGTCGTCTGAGTAAACTTCAAATAAGACTAAACTAACTTACAGCAAAGTACAGGAGCTTGATTTAATCAGTAATTCAGCGATCCACTTTTTTCTCTTCTGATATCGATACAGACATGTGAAGTTTAGAATCGATTGATACAGAAAAACAGGACTGAATTGACTTGCAAAGGGTTTTTTTCTTAGTGTTTCAACACCTGACAGTCTGGTTGGTTCGTTTTGATTATGGACCAAAACTGCAACATTTGTTACATTTTCAGCTGCTGTGGTTGGATTTCACCCTGCACTGTCAAACAAACCCTTTGAAAAACCTGTTCCCCTCTTCACCTGTGGGGGCGCTGCAACAGGAACTACTGAAGGAAACAACACAAAAACCTTTGAAGAAGACGCAGTGCAACTTCCTTTCTGAACAAAGATCTGATGCTACAATCTGAGTAGCATCAGATGTTAGCGGCTGTAGGATTTCTGTTTTGTCTTTATTAAAAGACCACAAGTCATTTCTCCCACTGGCATTAGACTGGATTTATTTTGGTTATATTACCCAGAATGCCCTCTGCTGTTGTCTGCTTCCTGCTTTGGAGAGGTTTCCTGCCTGCTTGCATTCATAAATGAACTGGGATAAAAACCAACGTAAAATGTAGATCAGTCAACATTAAGAAATTATTGACTTAAAACAAACTCCTGTATCTTGCTGAAAATTATTTGAGTTAGTTTTGTCTTATTTCCAGTGTATGAAGATATTTACTCCAGAAACTAGACTTAAAATAGTTTGTTGTGACTTTGCTGAGTGGTTTCTGAGGGTGACGCGTCAAACCACAGCCTGTCTGCCAACACAGTGAGGGAAACACATTTTACCTCAGAACGAGGCTCCAGCGAAACTCATGCTTCTGCTGCTGGTCTCTGACGTTACACTGCAAAAACACAACAAAAACACAACGTCCTACCAGGTAATTCAGGTGAACTTCCTACAGCAAATATCTTGGTACACTAGAAATAAGTTTAACTAACTTAGAAGTAAACTTTCAGCAAGAAACAGGAGCTTGTTTTAATATTGATTTTCACTGACAAAACATTTTCCTGTTATAAGTGAAATAATCTGACAATAGAACTACAACTTTTTCATCAATTTTAATTATTTTAATCAATTAATCAATTTTAATTGACTTAAAAAAATCTATATTTTGCTAAAAAGTTACTTTTAAGTCAATTTTGTCTTATTTCAAGTGTACTAAGATATTTACAATAGAAACTGCATCAAAAATACTTGGTATGATTTTGTGTTTTTGCAGTGTATGCAAAGCCTTTAAATAAATTAATCTTCTATTGAAGCTGCATCACTTTCAATGAGAATATTTAGGGGGAAAAAACAGTTTCAGTTAATAGTCAGTTTTGGAAAAAAAAATCTCATGTTAAGAAATAATTATTTTGAATTTGTGTTTAACCCTCTTGGCCAACAGGATAAACATCTTTGCCGATTCCTCTTTGCTCGTTATACGTCCTTAAAAAGTCTTAAATTGATCTAAAATTAAGGCCTTAAACCATCTTAAATTCATACAAATATTTTCGACAGGACAGTTTTTTTTCTTCATTGCGTTCTGCAATTCAATGTGGTCGAGGCTATCGCTAACTAGCTGCTGATATACCTTTGCTAGCTGCTTTTTTGCATCTATCATGGATAAGTGCGACTTTATCGCTAGTTCGCAGGATGATGTTTGTATATTTCTGTGGAGATACAGGTCTTTAAAATCAGGTTTTACTGACTCAAATTTAAGACTTTTTAAGACCATTATTACTGACATTTAAGGGATTGCTTGGGGATGCTAAAAATGGGTCAGGTTTCTTCATCAAATTGCTCTGTTATTCGAGTTGGATTCGACACTACTGCAGTGAAAGATGAATTTATTTTAAGGCTTTTGCTGCATCTTTACCAGTCCGTGGGGAAAATCTGGATGAATGTGAAGTGACCATTTGTTATAAAGACAGACCACAGTGACGCATTACTGCTCTTTAAAGTTACATTTAGTTACATAAACCACTTTCACCTCCGTTTTTAACAAATATGGGCAGGCTAAATTTCCCCACCTGTTATAAAACATAAAAATGAACAAACACAAAGTTATTTAACTGAATATTACAATTCTGATTGTACCGATAGAAAAATACCTGTTTATAATTTCAGTATGAACTAGTTTTCCCATAATGCTGTTTATTTTCAGCATTTCGTTGCACTTTCTGCAGGGCATTTTTACTGCTAAGGCCACAAACTAACATTGAGATCATGATTGAGGTTTCATCATAAATGAGGCCTTTCCTCAGCTGTGTGTTCAGTTTTCATGCTGCACACAGAGTGACTCAGCTGAGTGAAAGAAGACTTAATCACCCTACTGAGATGTTTCCTGCATTTTAAATACCACTGCATCAGGCAAAATGTCAAAAGGCTGCACATTTTTTCAAAGAAATCTCAAAATGCGCTCTCTGCAGACATGCATAAATTATTTTTCCCTGATAATGCGTTGGATGTTTAAAAATGCCTCAGTGGGGATGTGCAGTTTGGATTCTCACCCACATGCTTACATATAAATATTTTACCTGCTGTGCCAACATTATCTTACACTCTGAGCTACGAACTAAACTAAAATTCCCTTCAAGAAATTTTAAAAGTCTCTTGTCTTTGGTGAAAGTTTATTTATTTTTATATGTACTGTGTAGATCATTGTTCATTGTATAAAGTGAAGTGAACGATACATCGACACTCGGATGTTTTTCTCTGTGATTAAATTTGACTAAAGGTTTTTGTGTTCATGTGTTTTTTTATATTTGTAAGTAATTGGTTGAAAAGTCCCAACACTGCATGCATATAAGTAAAATAAAACATTTTAGCATCAATAATGTGTACATAATGTTCCTTTTTATTACTTTTTCTCTGCATGCTGTGATCGCTTCATTTTGTCACGTTACATTAATCAAAGTACTGCACAACTGTGGACTGGAGGGAAAATTTTTACATGGATAAATAAAACTTGTTTAGGGCGGCAAATGTTTCATTGCAATTTGAAAAAGGCTGCCTATAGTTTTGATAAATATCTACTAAAAAAGTGTTCTCATGTTTAAAGAACCATAATTTTATTTTTAGGTTTTAAAACAGAAAGATGCTAAATCTTTGCAACATGAGTGGATTTTTTTTTCTTTTCTATGGGATGTTATTTGTTGAAAATGCTATAAAAACTGCTCTAAGGTTTATATATTAAATGTCAATAAGATGTAAGCACTTAAAATAGAAGTCAAGTGGAGCTACATTAGGGGTATGAACTGTTAAAAAAAAGATCTGAAACTGAAAAGGAAAAAGATGGAAAAAGGTTTGTAACTGAGAAAAATAATTTTAAAACAGTAATTTTGCAACTAAAACAATAATCTTGGAACAGTAAAGTTTTGAAACTGAATTTATTTTAAAACTGAAAAGTTTTGAAACTGAAATAATCTTGAACCTGAAAAATAAGTTTTAAGTTTAAAGAAAATAAATTGAAACAAAAGTACAGTTTCAAGATGTTCCAGTTTCAAAACATTTCACTTTCAAAATTAAAGACTTGAAATAGAAAGAAAACAGTTTTGAAACAATTTTGAAACTGAAAGTTTTTAAACTTGGTTCCTTCCATATTTGTGGTTTTTATTTTTTATTTGCTGCTCCAAATTTTATTTATTTTTCTACAACATTTTTGGACCCAATTTAGCTCCTTAAATTTTTCAGGTTGTGACGTGAAAAATGTCACGTCATCTCATCAACCGGATAACTTCGTGGTAAAGTTTACACAGTTTCCTGCTAACTCTTATCAGCAGTAATAATATATGCTGTACAGTTCAGAGTCCAGTCTGAGTAAAGATTTGCTCTCATTCAACTAAAGCACCAAAATCTGCTCATTGCATTTATTTAATAATCTTATCAGCTGAAAGCTGTCGTTACTCTTTTTTTTATCATTTCTGCTCTTCATGTGAAGAACCAAGCCTCTTTCCAGTAAATTACAGGCTTATCTTCTCGCTCAGAAATCAAAAACAGTAAGGTAGTCACGTGACCTGATCCTCCTTCGGGTTATTTCCTTGAAGACGCCTGATTGGTCCAATCAGCCGAGGGTGGGCGGGGCCTCGGCCAGCACACACGAGTTGTCAAACAGGTTTGTGTTGTTGCGCTGGTAAACGTTTGTTTCGGACACATTCATGCGGGAGGATCAGCGTCCCGAGTCGGCTTGTGTTCAGCAGAGACCCCCGTTACCCGCGGCTCCGCTCTTCACCGCTCAGGTGGGTTTTTAAAGGAGAGAAAACCGCGAAGTTACCTGCGTACTAATTAAAACCGACTTAATCTTGTCAGGACTGGACTCCAGCGTTTACAGGCCCTGAGGCTGATCTACCTGAGGGCCCTTTTTACTGCTTCCCCCCCCCAATGCCTCCCTCTTTGTTTTTGCGTCCCGTCTCTCCTCATGTTTGCCTCTTGTTTCCTCCTCAGCTCAGCAGCATGTTAGGACTTGACTTAGAAACATTACATTAGTGGCTCTATTTTTGTTCCTCTGACCCTCCCCACCCCCTCCAACATTCCTTCCTGCTTTGTAACCCACCAGCCTGCTGCTTTAATTATATTTTTCTGCTGCCGTGGTTAATTTCGTTGAGACAGGTGAGGACTGGAGGTTTCTCCCAGCAGGATCTTGGACCAGCTCAGCCTGGAATGGCAGACATGTCGAGAATTTAACTGGCAGACGCAGACAGCATAGTTTGAAGCACACACTTGATCTTTATTGGATACAGACTTTCCTTGACCTTCTTCACTTTAGAGGCTGTGTTTTTGGGGGATAACCTATTTTAAAAAGGGGGTGAGGGAATCATTGTTCCCTCAGCAGCAGCTGTTGGGTCGTGTGATCCGACTCCAGACAATAGCAGGCTGACAGCTGTCCTGATGCTCCCTCAAACGCATCTCTTTTCACAGCCAGTCTGCAAATGAAGTGTCAGTTTTATTGTGTCTTTGTCTGCAATAAGATGGATGGCTGTTCAAGTCAGACTTCAGCCAGCAGGCAGCTATTGAACTTGGGACTGGGGTTGGGGAACCCCTGCTTGGAGGTGTAAATATTCTCAACTTGTGTAAGTTTCGTTTTAGCCTTGCCGTTGCCTTCCCGTGCAATTCTGCTCGACAAAAAGATCAGAGTGGGTTTTCTCCCCTTCGCTTGGATTCCCTCCGGGCCAATCAGCGACCAGCAGCAGCCTAAGTGAAAGATGACGTAGATTTTTTGCGCTGTTTTTATAATTGTAGTTTTAACAATGGCAGCGGAGGAAACAAACGAAGTCCCTGTTAGCCACTCTTCCAAATATTGAATTAACATGAACAGCCATGTTGTTCTGTTTTAGCAGTGGAGGCCGGCTGTTTACAGCTGAGGCAATTTCCAGTAAGCGTAATAGCATCGAACTAGCGCATTACATACAACACTTTATTTGAAGACATTTACAGTGTACTGTAAATTGTTTATGACATTGTTGCATGTCTCAGAAAACAACAGTACAGATAAAAAGCAAATAAAAAGAAAAGGCGAGGGGGTTTAGGTTTCAAACGTTTTAACGGCCATTTTTTGTTAGCCTTTGATAGATCTGATGCAATACTTATAACTAAAAAAAAGCAGCAAAACATGATTTCCTTTCAGTGAATTTGTAGCAATGAATATATTTATCCAATAATAATACAATATGATAAAAGTAATCCAGACCCTTTTCCATGAAATCCCTTCTACAAATCTGTCCCAATGTTTAACAGATGTTAAGAGCTCCTTTTGAAATGAGGCTGTATGAGTTTGTTATTAACAGGATCAACAGATAAACATATTTTACCTACAGTTTTATTTTCTGGGGATGGATAGAAAAGGTTGAGATTCAAACCTTTTAAAAAGCACAGAAGGGATGGCTCCAAAACCTTGGCATAATCGGCAGATACAGCATTACATACGACACAAGCTACTACTGAGCTCTCATGTGACGTCACACTTCAGCAAATTCTTAACTGAAGAATCGAGTTGCTATGGCGTTGCCATAACAACAAGTCGTAAGCTTACTAGTTTCGCCTGCGTCCTATCCAACTTATAAACATCATAAGTACATTTACTATTATTACTCAATCACAATTTTTGAGAACTCGCCTCTAAGATAAAGAGTGATATTTACTGTAGTACTTACTGCCAAACTAAGAAATTAGCTTAGCTAATGTAGCTTTTATCTGCAAGCTAAGAACATGTAGCCGTTGCTACACGTAGGCTAGCGCATTACATACGACACAGAACCCAGAACCCTGTTATTCAAACGAGAAGGCCAGATGTTTAAGACTCAATTCAGTTCAAAAGTACTTTATTGATCCCAAAGGGCCATTAAATAAAGTATTTCTGAATTGAATTTGAATGAGCAGAACAGCGCAGTAAGGCAATGGCCAGGGTACGCGTTAAGTGTTCTTTACAAAATATACGTTTGTCTTTCAGAGGAAAAACTTATGCCATTATCAATATATTACTTGAAAGTGGTATCAAAACAGGATCTTTAGTGTTTATCACAGTAATTACTGGGAGGATTTATCATTGTGACAAGTTAAATCGTGATTAAAATATTTATTGAAATAATTAATGAATTAAGAGATCGATTAATCGTTAGCTAGAGTACACAGACTGAAAAAAAGTAACACTCTGAGGTAATTTAGCCAAAAACTGTACTAAAAATATACATTTTCTATTTTGAATAAAAGAAAAATGTGCATCCATTGCGACTAAAAGAATGCAATATTATTGCATTTTTGTTTTTAAATGATGAAATTATTTTTATTTTGTACATTTTAATGTATTTTGAACATTGCATAAAAAAGGGTTAAAAGAAATATCTTGAGTGTGATTAATTACTAAAATAGTTTATTGCATCTTGCTTTAGGAAGGCTATGTTATGCCACAGGAACATTGAAGCGTATAGAACCTGAGAAGATGATAAACTAACGATTATTTTAGTTATCAGTTACTCAGTTATTCTGATAATCAGATTAAAATTTTTTTAAATTCTGAAAATTTTCAATTTTACCTCAAACTTTTTTAAAGTAAAATATTTGAAATATATTAAAGTTAGCAATTTGTTAAATTAGTTGATTATTTTAATATCAACCCGTCACGATTAATCTTTTCAGTCTAGTTACAGTGACACTGCAGTGTGTTTCACTGGTATTTTACGTGGCAGCATTATGTTTAAGAATGCTATTTATGCAGCAGGAACAAGGAAGTTGCTCGATGCTGACGGGAAAATAAAATCCGACTTCAGTTACAAGTAATCCATTATCCTATCGATCAAGTGGATTAAAAATTGGCAAATTCTGCAGATTTTTTGCGGTTGTGACTTAATTATTGCTGAGGGTATTGTTCTTTCAGCAGATTGTCTTTTTTTGAGTCTGTATTTATACTCCGGCTAATGATTTATAGATCACTAAATGAGTTGACAATTATTTCAATCAATTAATCAGATTAATTGCTTCAGCCCTATAAGTAGCTGAAATAAGAAATCTAATTAATAGTTTGAATGATTGCAATAGGCAGCCAACTGGAGCTGCTGTGACGTCAGCTTCCTTCTGCGCATGCGGCTCGTAAATCGTAAATCGTGGTTGGATTTAATTAATGGCATCAACGACCGTGCCAAAAAAAAAAAAAAAAAAAAAAAAAAAAAAAAAAGAAAATTTAAAAAAAAAAATTTTTCCCAGGGA